TTAAGATGTTTGGTAAAAAATATTGGTGATGAGCTATTAATCTGTTTAAATGTAAGTCTCTGAATAACATAACTAAAAATAGTAATACTCAAACACATTGCAAAAAATATAAGCAAAAAATTTAGCAAGAAAATTCAAACAAAAAGAAAAAAGGGACAAAAATTTTACATTTATTTCTCCTTACGTGTCTTGTTGTTGTTGTTTGTTTTATTTTGTGTTTTCTGCCTATTTCATGTAAATGAAGCAGATATACTAGCCACGTATGTTGAGATACCACTGTCTCTTGCAATAGTTTTACATGCATGATAACATATATGGTGTGGGTGTTAATATAATGGAATAATCTGGCAGAACTATGGTAAATAAAAGATTATGCTAAAGGATCCATAGACTTCTGGAGATGGTGCTAGCACACTTCTAGCATTGGTCCTCAGAAACTTGGAGAAATTGATAGTCCTTAAAAACTAAAGAAGAAATACCAGAATTATCAAGATAAACAGTTAAAAATAAATCATAAGTTCAAATAAATGCTAAATTATGTATTTTATTTAAGGCTCCAAAACTGAACATGTTCTGCAGGAAGGCCTGCAGACTGCAATTTGAATCAAAATGATAAGGCTTATGCTTTTCACAGGGATACCAACTTCATTGAAAGTCCTGTGTTGTTCTTCCCCTATAGGCCAGAACTGACTATAGGAAATGCCATTGCTAAAGTAGACTCCCTGTTGGTCACGAGGATGATGGGATTCCAGATCTATAAAAGCCCAGGTGGAGACCCATAACCCTCAAAGCAAATTTGGCACAATTATAATGAGCACCGAGATTAGAGAGAACCTCAAGGTATCCACAGAGAGCTATGAGGAACATTTAAGAGAATAATAATCTGTAGCAACAGTAGTCTGGAAGACAAACAGAGTGTTCAATCTATACCAAAAAAAATCAAGCATAAATTATTAGGAAACTGAGTGCAAAGCATTTCAACAAAAATCACTGTCCCTTGACTAGTTTTCAGACCCTAAACTCATGAGTTGGAACAAACCAGGTGGTCAGGAGAATTCATACAACACAGCAAGTTACATCAATGGCTCTACCAACACTTCCCAAAAGTACCTATAATCATTTACTTCCTTACTACATTTAGAAGAAGAAATTCCAGTTATTTCAAAGATGTTAGACTTGGGTTCAATGTAACATTGACATTTAGGTTTTTGAAGTTTTATTGTCCTCATGATAGAATGAGAGCATTTGGAGGCAAGGTAAAAAGGCACCTGACCCAGTGCAGCTTAGAGTAGGTCAACTGTATCCAGTCATCGTTTCCTCAGTCCCTGAATATATACTTAAGATGGTCAAACTGCTTAGTGGATAGAACACTTGTATTTTTTAGGAGGATGAGCACTGTAGAGAATGCCAAACTGGAAGTCTCTAAACCTATATCCACCCTCTGGCCAGTATCATAAAATGAATGAAAAACGACATAATAGCACCTTGGGATAGTGCCACTCTTGAAGACAAAATGATGACCCACTATCATTTCTTCACTTAATTCACCAGAATGGTCCCTATAAAAAACATACATCACCATAATTATGACAGCGTCTCATATTTTGCAATCAACAATCAAAAAGCTCTTTTGGGTTATTCCTGACCTAGAATTCTCAGTGGGATTAATGAGTCTCTCTTGGCTTTGTGTTACAATTCATCCTCTGTTACTGCTCAACTCTACCTTTTATTCTTCCACAGATGTTTTCTTTTTTTAAAGTTTTATTGGAATATAAATGATGTACAAAAATATTGCAATTTTATCAAGCTTAACCAAGTATTAGCTCAATCGTTCCTGTTGTACCAGATGTGTAACATCTGATTCAGCATTTTTTGTGGGGGGGGAGTCAGGGGTCACTCTGTCACCCAGGCTCACCTCAGCCTCAACTTCCTTTACTCAGGTGATCCTTCTACCTCAGCCTCCCAAGTAACTGGGACTACAGGCACCTGCCACCACACTGGGCTAATTTTTAATTTTTTTTGTAGAGACAAGGTCTTTCTATGTTGCGTAGGTTGCTCTCAAACTCCTGGGCTCAAGCAATTCTCCTGCCTCAGCCTCCTAGGGTACTGGAATCACAGACATGTGGCACCATGCCTGGCCTGATTCAGCATTTTCATATTGCCTCAGGTATGATGTATGTGTCCAAGAATGCAGATTTTTTTTTTTTTTCTGTATCTATCAGGCAGGAGGGTCAGGAACAACGTAAATTCATTTGAGACAGATAACAGTACACATTATACATATATAAAACAGTATACCATATATATGACATATTATACATATATAATATGTATCATAGTAAACATATATACATATAATATGTTATCTCTCCCATCCTTTATTATAGCATTATCTGAAGGTAACTTTTCTGTCTGGACATCCTGCAGACTTTCACATTGATCCACCATATTGAAGATGCTATGATGATCAAATGAGATGAGCAATTAATTCAAATACAGTAAAAGTATATTTGGGTATATTTGCTATGTTTATAGTATATTGTGCAACTAAGCCTCTTGCAGCAGGATATGTGTACAGTGACCATTGTTTACACGTGGAGGCATCTCTGCAGGACAAACTCCCAAAGGTGCAATTGCTGAATGAGGGACCATTTGCATTGTACAATTGTATTTTATTTTATTTTGGTTCCAAAAGTTTCACCGAACAACTTGGTGAGTATAGTTAATAATAATGTATTGTGGATTTCCAAATTGTTAAAAGTAAATTTCAAATGCTTTCACCACAAAAACGATATGTATATAAGGTGATGTGTATGCTCATTATCTTGATTTAATCATTCCACATTGTATACATATATCACAACATCACATTGCACCCTAAAATTATATGATTAAAATTTGTCAATTAAAATTTTTAAAAAATTAAAAACAGAGCAAAAATACATTGATGTCCTTGGGATGATACATGTGCTCTAGATGGTGGGAGACAAACCCTACAAAGATTCAGGAGCATAAGGGAAGTTGATAGGACATTCAATCAATGTTCTGGAGCATGCAGGGACAGCTCATCCAAATTAAAGACACATTATTGAACCTCACATCTCACACTATTATAATGGAAGCACAACAGTTGGTAGTCTCTTGGCTTCTGATGGTACAAATATCACCATGATCCATCACCTGGAGATATAACTGGCTGGCAACTTTAAATGAGTCTCAGCATGGGAAAATACTTGATACCAGGTCCAGGCTTATGTGCAAGTACACTTGGTTTTTGCACCATGAGAATCAACAGATTCTATAGTACTAGAAGTACTAGTGGTATTAGTGATAAAACATTTTGTGAAGTTTAGGAGTATTTCAATCCCCAGAGAATTACAACATAGACCTCTAGGATTAGAGTTAGAGATGTTATTTGATGGCAAATAAAATACAAAGTAGATGGCCTCCAGATCAACTATAGAGTCAGGTACCAGGTGTCACAACTCATCCTACTGATCTCTGTATATAATTTGCACCCCCAGAAGGTCCATAAGAATCCTAAGCAGTGTGTTTCAAAACTGATAAGAAACAAGGTCGAGTGTGATGGATTATGCCTATAATCTCAACGCTTTGGGTAGCTGAGATGAGAGGATCACTTGAGACCAGAAGTTCAAGATTAGTATGGGCAAAAGAACAAAACCCTCATCTCTAAAATTAAAAATTTAAAAATTAAAATAAAAAGGTATAAAAGAACTGATAAGAAGCAAGTAAAACTCTGTGCTACATTTGATTTCTACTGGAGGCTGTCCAGCCTAGGAATGAAACTCTCGTTTCCACTGCTCCTGGGAATGTTGGTGGCTGACAGCTATGAGAAGTGCCCTCAGTTAGAAAGGACCATTGTATTCAAGGTCACTCTCCTTTTTTTTGGTGAGTCCATCCCCAATTATTGATTGGTGCAGAGACATAAAGACTGAAGCCTCTTGCCTGAATGTGAGACAGCTCTCCTGGGTCATTCTGCCCTAGAGTTCTTGGGGGATTGGTGAGACTCTCTTGGCTTTGCATCACGATTCATCCTTTGCTTCTGCCAAATTCTTCACCTTTCATTCTCCCACCGGTATATTCTTTTATTTTTAAAAAAACCTTTATTGAAATATAAATGATGTACAGAAAAACCGTACTTATGTCAAAAGCTCTCTACAAAGATGTTTTTACATGCCAATCTTCATCTCAGACTTTGTTTCCTGGGGAATGGAACCTGCAATGTATTCACTATGATAAGTAACAAATGCCTTTATTCTACATCTAGAAATATACACAGGCAAAGGGATGAAGTTATGTGTGCAAAGTTCTCTGTTTCACAGTTTGTAATGGCAAAGAATCAAAAGAACATGTGGGACATTAAGAGAGCATTAATTATAGCATCTATAATAATTAAAAGTAATGACACATTCTTATATATAACAACTGAGAAAGACAATCATTTTAAAATATTGACATATAAATAAAAATATAATAAATACAATTTATGATCTGAATTATGTCAAAATGCTTGTAAGACAGGAGACCCAGAAAACCAAAATTTATAAAAAATTGTGCATTTATTCACATATGTTTAAGCTTTAGTCATCTTCAGAGTACTCTGTGTTTGATGCAACACACCTATCGAGATGCTTTTTCCACTGCTCAAAATAGTTTTGAACTCATCAATTTGGTGACTTTTAGTGCTTCTGTTGTTTTTTGTTTAACCTCTTTCACACTGGCAAAAAGTTTCCCTTAGAGACATTTTTTCATCTGAGGAAACCCAAAAAAAGTAGCTTGGGCAAGATTGGGTGAATAGGGTGGGGCATAGGGCTCATGCCATTTTGGGTTGAAAACTGTAGAACACTCAGAGTCGTGTGTGCAATATGTTACCCATCATGAAATAAGCAAATGCATGGAAAAATCACTGAAGCCCAGCACAGCTTCTCACAACAATGCTGGCTGATATGCTGATGCCAGTGGTTTCCTAGAACACTTACCTTGGAGAGTGTGGAGGAGCATCTTGTAGTACAAAAGGACTTTCCTCCAAAAATAATTCTGTTTTTTTTGGATCCTCCTTGTATGTATACTTATGTACATACAGTAAATCTCTAGATGCATACAAGAGGTCGTAAGACAAATGGAGTAAAAGTGTACTTGGAGGTTCACCTATTCTAGATTAAAATGCTATGTATCTTATATGACCTGTATAAACTTAAGAAGGTTATTTATCTGAGTCTCAGTTCTCTATATATTGGGATAACAAGTCTCACGTGGGGTCTAAATTACCTGTGAAGCACTTAGAAAAGTACCTGGAATGGAATGGCCACTTTAAGACTATTAAGTATAGATACCTTGAAAAGTGGATTGGGTGGGAGATGGAAAATTTTTTTTCTTAATATAATTCTATAACAGTACCTTTGTTAGTATATGGGCTATTCTTAGAATAAACGACTTTCCTTCTTCAAAAATGATTTCATTTTCTTTTTAGTTTTGAAGCCTCTTTTTCTTCTGTAGTATGGGTCAGAAGCACATACTTTTTTCCCCCTTTTGTTTTCTTGGGTTTATCTTTTATCTGTAAAGATATGTCTCTGCAAGAGGGTAAATGCATTTTCTTTGATTTCCCTCATGCCCACCTGAGGGCTGTACAATTCTTGTAACACAATGTACTGAAAGTGTGATGAATATACATTTTACTTGTTCTTTGCAGGGCATCTTTTGATTGGTTGACATCATCAGGTGACCTTCTGCTCTGATTGGCATCATTGCCAAAGCAATGATGTGGATTTGGCCTCCTCCTTTTCTGGTGCTTACCTTTTCTTTGGCATAAAGAGCATTGCTGCACCAGTGAGAAGCCCCTTTCCTTGCCATGTTTCTGCTGGAATAGTCTTTTCACAAATCCTGAAGCTTCCCCGATTAGCAACTTCTGAATGAAGTTGGCCTACAATGGTGCAAGAGATTCTTGCTTCTTGTCCTCACATTTCTAAAATAGAAGAAAAGGTTAGCACTTCAGCTTTTGCACTACTATGCTGTGAAAGATTTTTAGGAGATAGCTCTCTAGCTTTGTTTTATTTGTTTTTATTAATCCTGTGATACTGTATTTCCTTGTATTATTCCTGGCAAGTGGATGTTACTGTGTTTTGCCAGAATTGATGACATCTTCCTTCTCTTTTTTAGTTTGCTCTTGTTACTTTAAAAAAGACACAAAAGGGTCAATTTAGATAATTATGAACAATTTTGCACCTTAAATTTTTTTAAACCATCATGTTATCATCATCAGTGATTTTATAGAAATTCATTTTTTTAAAAGAATTTGTGGTATTTACTGGAGAAAAGTTTATTGCTCCACATATGCTCAACTGTCAAATATTTGACTTCCTATAAAGCAGTGTAGAAGTTCTCCTCTATAAAGATTTTGCAGGGAGACAGCAATGATTTCATATCCTTTGGGGATGTCTTCAGCAGTGAGTAAATGCCAAATTGACTAGTCATAGTAGAAAAATTGTATGGTGGAAGAAATAGACCAAATTTTGACAAATGTCATATTGAAGCCAGGAAGATTGGCCATCAAGTTGCTGAAAGATCATTTTGCCTTCCAGAGCTTGACTGTAAGTAAATAGAAACAATCTTTTACTGTTTTGTTTTGAGTGTCAGACAGGCATAAGTTAACAGTCAATGCACACTACTTCATGTTGCTACATATATCAAAATATAGTGTAATTTTGAGTAGCAAAGGTTGGGTTTAATTTTTACTTCAGAGTTTCTAATGGGAATGTTTTAATAATGTTGATTTAAAAAAACACTTCAAGTGTATAAGTTATATATTGTGTTAAACTTTAGAATGTTTAATAATTTATTAATTTATATTGCTATTAGAAGATAAAATTGTGAAGTATGTAAAAATTCTGACTTATGGATATCTACCAGCTGATATTTTCTAATCTGTTGTCCAGGTGGCCAAGGCATTTATGCTGTTACCTAATGGACTACTTAAGTTTAGGTCCTATCCTTTTGAATGTTCCTATCATCTTCTTTCCATTAAATGGTGTCTGCTTATGTCCCATGTTCTTAATAATTGGTTCAGTGCCTGACTAATTATTATATTATTCCAAGTGATGAGTAAAATAAAATGTTCATCCTTTTCTCACACATTTTTACTTCAAGACAATGCTTTGATTTATCCATTTTGCTCCAGTTTTCATTAAGTCCAGACAGTATGCTAATATTGTTGAGGATAATGGCCATTCCAACCCTGGATTCTATTTTTGTTTTAATTGAAATAAGCAGATTTGATATCTTTTTTGACAATCATAATTTACTGTTTTTCATGTTTATTGTATTTGTAATTTTTATTAACAGAGAATATAAATATATAGTGATGTTTATATGCTTGCTTGTTTTCTCTATTTCACAAAAATCCATATATTCAAAAAACCAATTGAATGTCATTTATTATACTTACCTGTGATCCCCCAGACTCTAAATAAATGGCAATTATTTAATAGTAAAGTCTTTATATTTTTAATTCCAAATTATAGATACTGTAATATACAGTTGGAAAAGTAGTATAGTTGTTATCAGTTACCTGCATAATACCCATTCTCTCTTGCCAATTTCCTTACATAACTGATTTTATTCAGGTAGATTTCCCCTCCTTTGCATTTCATGTATTAAATGAGAAGTTGATCTTATGTTGATACCTTGGGCTAGGTGTGCATCTGATCTCTCTAAGAGACTGCATTTCAACTCTGAATGCATATCAGAATCACTTGCCAGATTACAAATGTTTCCTGAACCTCAAACTGCACCCAAGGCAGATGAAATCTAAATCTCTCAGGGTGAGGCCAAGGTCTTAGCATTTTCTAAATGGTTTCAGTATTCACCCAAGTTTACTCGCTTCCCTACAGTGGCTGATTTAGGAATGGAAACCTAAATTATTTTGCATTGATTTTACATAAGTATTTGATGCAATTCTAGTCAAAGAGTTATGACATTTGCTGAGATCTAATGAGAACAATTCTTTCTCACTTTAATGAGGCAGCCACCATAATTGATGCTCTCTTTAATTTGATGTCATAAGGTATAAATGTGAAGCCAGGATGACTAATTTAACTTTGCCAGAGTGAGTTTATTGACACATTCAGCATACAGAATATGGTACAGCCAACATTATCTCAGGGAAATGGTGTCATTTCCTCTGTCAACAATTCAACTTATCTCTGGACTTACATTTAAATGAGCTTCTATTTGTGTTATCAGTTAAACCTGCTTGAATCATACATTCTTAATTTATGGTTAAAACTATTTCTAAAAGATGAAAGTCACAACTGACCCTGAAGAAATACAAAAGATTAGCAGAGATTACTGTGTACCCTTGTATGGAAACAAACTCAAAAACCTAAGTGAAATGGAGGGCTTTCTAACAGCATACAACCTCCCCATGTTGAAACAAGAAGATACGGAGACACTAAATAGATCAATAACAACCCAAGGAAATTGATTTCGTCAAAAGAAAACTACCCCCCCCAAATAAAATATAACCTGGACCAGATGGTTTTCTAGCAGAATTATACAAAACATACAAAGAGAAGCTGATACCAATCCTATTGAAAGTATTCCAGGCACTGAAGAAATATGGAACTCTCCCCAAATCATTTAATGAAACTAACATTACATTGATACCCAAACCAGGTAAAGATCTAACAAAGAAAGAAAACTGCAAGCCAATATCCTTGATGAACATAGAGGCACAAATTTTCAACAAGATTCTAGCAAACCGGATCCTACAACACATATCAAAAGTCATCCACCATGACCAAGTAGGATTCATCCCCAGGATGCAGGGCTGGTGCAACATCTGCAAGACCATAAATGTAATTAAATACATCAACAGATGTAAAAACAAGAACCACATGACTATATCATTAGATGTAAGTATCTCTTCTTGATAAAAACCCTTGAACACCTAGGCATAGATGGAACGTACCTCAAAATAGTAAGAGCCATCTATGATCAACCCACAACGAACATACTGCTGAATGGTCAGAAATTGGAAGTATTTCCCCTGAAAACCAGAACAAGACAAGGATGCCCATTCTCACCCCTCCTGTTTAACATTGTGTTGGAAGCCCTAGCTGGAGCAATTAGACAAGGGAAGAAAATCAAGAATACCTAAATAGTAAAAGTGGAAGTTAAGTTATCCCTCTTTGTGAGTGACATAATCCTATACCTTGAAAACCCAAGATAATCTGGTAAAAATCTCCTTGCGCTGATAAAGGACTTTGACAAAGTCTCAAGATGTAAAACAACCATGAAAAAGACAGTCACAATTCTATACACCAACAATAAACAGACAGAAAGTCAAATAAAAAGCACAATCCCATTCACAATAGCCACACAAAAAAATGAAATACTCTTGACATCTTCCAAACCAAAGAAGTGAAAGGCCTTTACAATAAAAACTACAAAATACTGCTCAAAGTAATCCAAGAAGACACAAACAGAAAAATATTCCATGCTCATTGATTGGAAAAATTAGCACTGTTTAGATGCCCATCTTACCAAAGTCAATCTATAGATTCAACACAATACCTATTAAATTATCAACATCATACTTCTGAGACCTGGAAATGACAATACAGAAATTCATATGGAAACATAAAAGACCACAAATAGCCAAAACAATCCTTAGCAAAAGAAACAAAGCAGGGGGCATCACACTTCCAAATTTCAAACTCTACTATAAAGCTACAATAATCAAAAAAAGCCTAGTATTGGTACAAGAACAGGCATAGGGATCAATGGAACAGGCTAGAGACTTTGGAAGCAAAACCTCAATTTCTCAACCAACTTTTCTTCAACAAAGCCTCCACCAACAACCAATGGGGAGAGGAGAATCTATTTTGAGAATAGTGCTGGGAAAACTGGCTGTTCAAATGCAGAAGATTGAAACAGGACCCCTACCTATCAACATAAAAAAAAAATCAACTCCAAATGGATCAAAAACCTAAGTGTAAAACCTCAAGCTATAAAAATCCTGAAGAAAATGTAGGAAACACCCTTTCAGAAATTGAATTCAGCAACCAATTCCTGATCAACTCTCCAAACATGAATGCCATAAAAGATAAGATAGACAAGTGGGACCTTTTAAAAATGAAAAGCTTCTGCAAAGCAAAGAATCCATCATGAGAGTGGGGAGACAGCCCATGGAATGGAAAAATAATATTTGCCAACTGTAAATCTGACAAAGGCCTAACATCCAGGATCCACAAGGAACTCAATTGTGCTGAAAGTGAAAAACAAACAACTCTAAAAATGGGCGAAATATATGAATAGACACTTCTCAGAAGAAGACATACAATCAGCCAACAGATACATGAAAAAATGCTCAGCCTCACTTATCATCAAAGAAAAGTAAATTAAAACGACACTGAGATACCACTGAACTCCAGTCAGGATGGTCATCATCAATAACTCAAAAAACAACAGATGCTAAAGAGGATGTGTGGAAAAGGGAGCACTTTGACATTGTTGGTAGGATTATAAACTAGTAGAACTTCTATGGAAAACAGCATGGCATTTCTAAAAAAAAATCTCAAAATTAACCTTCCATTTGACCCAGCAAACTCCCTTCTGGGAATATAACTGGAGGAACTCAAATTACAATACAGATACCTGCACATGCATGATAATTGCAGCATTATTCATATCAACAAAAACATAGAACTAATCATGCTGCCCACTGAACATGAACTGGATAAATAAAATGTGATACATTTACACCATGGAATATCATGCAGCCATAAAGAAAAGTAAAATTATGAACTTTGCAGCAACCTGGATGGAATTAGAGTCTATAATACTCAGTGATTTATCACAGAAACAAAGATTTGAGTATCACATATATTTGTTCTTAAGTGGACCCTGAACATTTATCATAAT